AAGCTTCTCTAGAGTACACTTATGAGTGGGACTATAAAGTGGAGAGAAAGGAAATTTACAAAGGGAATCGATTCATCCTCCAGTTTGGACGAAACCTGTGAATTGCACAAATATGACTCAAAAACCCATGATGAAGATTAAAAGCGTGCAAAGAAACAAATCAAAAAAGCGACAGAAACTCTGTAAATGAGCCTTGCGTCGGAAGGACAAAAAAGGCGCAAAGAGAAACGTTTCAAGTAACCACTGGGAAATTACTTAGAAAATCTAAACTGTATATGTATGGGTAAACATTAGAGCGTTTTATTTCGCAGAATGAAGTAGTTTATAACCTTACTTAGCCATTATAAGGTGCTGTTTGTTTTATCGTAAGCTTTAATGATTGTATGGAATTGTTGACTTCTTTGAAATACATCTTATTCTAGCTTAACTTAAAAGTTAAAAGTATTATTGTGTTTTTTCAGAAATGAAGTGGCTCTTTTTGTTACTTTTGTCGATAGTTGAATCTCAAGATCGAGTGAAATTTATTCCGGGAAAGTGTGATCGTCAGAGCGTCAAAGGTATGGAACGGGTGGCAGAAGGAGAATGTGTAACTGCCTGTATGTTTCAGGTAACTTTCTTTTTTAATTTTAAGTTATTATGTAAAGATATAAAAAAAAAGTAAACTTTGAGTTATTTGAAAATTTGAATTACTCAAGAGCTAAATAACTATAGATAGTTTTGCAGTTTTTCCCAACAAAATAAATCTTTAAAATCTTCAACAAAGACATTTTTTGTAGTATAACTGTTTAGGGTTGTCTTGTAGGCAAATGCCGAGTAGTGAAGGGCTGGTCTCTCTGTGTATGTTTTAGGTGCTATGATAATGGCAATGTCTGGCCAACAGAATTAGCCAGTCAAAAAAAAATACGAAAAAATTTTACCAGTTACATCAGACCTCGGTGGGATGAAACTGAGTAGCTAGCCTGCTGTACCGCAGGTAGCCCTAGAGAAATCATGGTTTTTTTTAGGGATTCTTGTTGCTGCTCAGCTTTATAGCACATTTTTTATAATTACTTGCTATTTGTTTTTATGTTACATTATTTTCTTCTTGAATCAAATTTTCTTCTACGTTTATTTTAAAAAATTCTTTAGTTTTTTTTTTTATTGAACAACTAGATGTTGAACTTTCGAAGAAAACAAGACTGTGCTATCACTAAATAACAGTAACAGCTCATATCGGCGACACGATATATGTTTAATGTATGATTGCCATTTATTAAAAAATGTCTCTCAGGTCTCTTCAAGTGCTAAAATCATGCACGTATTTACTGAATTTGAAAACTTGATTTTTGCTTCTGTAATCTCTACCTGTTATTTATTTGTTATCTTAATGCGACTGCAATTTTGTAAATGTTACAAACTGTAGTGTACCGTAAAATGCAGATTGAGCGCAGAAAAGTAAATAATAAATTTTACTTGGCTTACCAGTCGTTCTGATAATGCTAAGATAAAAACTTTCTGGACTTTTCTAACAGTGACCATTGCGGTCTGATGCATCTTGTCAGCGCCAGATGGGTAGCAACAAGGAAAAAAACATAATTTTTTGGCTCATGAGTTCAAATGGATTTTTATAAAGTTGTGCAATAGAAAGGTGTGTCTTTGGGAAAGGCAGTTGTGTGTTTGATGAACGTCAGTTTACATCCATTCGCTATCACAAACAAAGTAAGGGAAATCAAATTTCAAAACGCTTCCAGTCCATAAATAGATTAACACCCGGAATTCAACTGCTGCAAATAACGATTAGTGATTTGTGTTTAGCAGGTTTCAAAAAATTTGTTTTACTTTACTGCATTCTACGGCCACTGCTCTGCTAAAGGATGAAAGTAATACTGTTAGGTCGTATCAGCAGGCGTTAGAGAATTCCACATAACATTTTTTCATTTTTCTTTTTCGACGTTTTCCCTCTGTGCGCCGTTCATCAATTATCCGCCAGGAAGAAATTGAGATCAGAAAATTATTTCTATTGTTTCATGTAAGTTACAATTTTCACAAACCTTTTATAGACCGTCTGTTCTTGAGAAAAAGGAGGGACAAGTGCGAACTGAATGTAAAGAGTAAAATATCAATGTTAATATACATACATATATACTTACCTATGTATATGCAATTCTTCGTCAAATTGCGCACTTCTCCCGACTCGTCAGATTTCTTTTCGAGATTTGCCAATTTTTAAATCTTGACTCCTGACCACAAAATCAAAAAGGTTATCTTAAGAAACGAGATAGCAGCAAAGTCAAACCTTTTTAAACAGAAAACGATTTTTGACAAAGATTGTCTTTTTTATAAACCTTTATCTTCGTCCAATCGCAATGGATTTCTGTAACCTTCAATTTACTAGACAGCCTGCCTCCTGAGGATCAGAAAAATGGTGAAAATTACCCTAAGTGGACTCCTGAATCTACTATCTCCAAGTCTTCAGCAACGTTGCAAATTAATGTATTAATGAAAGGATGATTTTAAAGCAGTATTTGCAGTGAATAATCAGCAACGAGCTTGGTGAGGATACGCGGCAGTGCGAATTTAAGGAGCAACAGTAATGGCGGTTTTTTCCAAAGGATTTTTAACAAATCATTAGAAAGCAAAAAATTTGTATTATCATATCTATTATCATACTAGCTAAACCAAAGCAAGATTAAGTTTAACGGTATTTTAAATAGATATAAAAGGCTTTCACTTGCAGAGGCACCAAAATGTTGCCTAGACAAAGTTTTTTGCTGCCTAGTCTCAGTAATCGCTCCATAACTCGTGATTTCAAAAAACAGCACTTTGTCATTTTAACATTTTATGCGATAACTTAAAAAATTTAAAATATAAATGTTTGAGAAGAAAGCTTGTTTTTTGTTCTAGTTTTTTGCGTAACTTGTTGATATATGTATTTCACTATTTCCCTGAATCTGCAGGAAGCAGGCTTTCAAAAGTAGAAGATACAAAAATTCGTTGCGAATGGACAAAGACAAAGGTCTGTAAAAACGACCATCCTTGTCACAATCGTTTTTTTTTTCACACTCTGGAAGAATCTTAATTTGTTGCCAGCAAGTTTTTTCGGTTAGATTTCTTTTCGATTTCGTAGTCGGGTATCAAGTCTTACAAGTCAGCAAAAAATGTAAAAAACTTGGGAAGTTGATTAAAAAACACTCATCGCTTACCGTGGAATGGCTCCTATATATAATTAAGAGTAAAACAACGACTTATATATATATATATATATATATATATATATATATATATAGGTGCTGTGCTTAAGAGTGCGTATTTTTGTTTGTGGTCGTCCCCAAAATCCTTACAACTTTTTGGTTTATCAAACAGCTTTTGGCATTTACGTGTACATTATATTTATATTTATATTTATTATATACGTACAGATAATGATTTAAAAAAGAGAATCTGCTCATGGCAACCATCACTTAGCAAGTATTTTTGACCGCTTGAAATACAGCGGTTTGAAGTAACTAATTTTTGCACCATGGGAATTGGACTAGTCGTAATACAGTTTTTGAAACCAATGTTTTTCTGTTCCGCAATCGTAAAAAAATGGAAAGATGGTGTCAGAAAACGACGATTTTTCGTGTTTTGTAAAGGTGATCTGCTATAACCGTTGGATCGTGCTGTATGGTGTTGCAATGATGCCGATTACTTCATGCAACCCTTAAGCTTTATGCTAACTGCATTGTTTTTTTGAAGATAATTGCTGCCTTTTTGTATGGAATCGTCTTTTGTACGTTATTTACCTTAATCTTTATTATAAAGTACATGGTGCGGAAATTTTTTGTTGAAAGTGAAAATTTCCAACATAGCAGTTAGTTGCTGCTGAGGAAACGTTGATTGATAATAGTTAGAGAGTTTTCACTAAACTTAAGACGCGTATGGAGAAGTTTGTACCATTCAAAGATTTTAAGTAAAAAAAGTTCCATCTATTTCTGCACAGAAACCAGTGAATTGAATTTTGAAACAAACAACGGCTCACCTTGGCAAGTAATAGCAGCATCATAAGTTTTTCACAAAAATGCGTTTTACGAGCAAGGTTTAAGTCTAAGAGTAGGAAAGGGAGATTTAAAAGAAATGAGGTCTCTCATAGGTTCGTCGTCTGCAGTAAACTTTCCTTCAGAAGATATCTTTGAAAATAAAATCAAAATATCATCCCTTACGTTACGAAACGTCAAACAAAAGTTTTGGGCAGATCCTAGAACAGAGAACGATGAAGAATGATAGAAAAAATTTACAAACGTTAGAGAATTTGACTCCTTTTTTTTTTCTGCACTTGTAACTCATGACGCTAAACTGACAGCTATACAGCCAACAAAAGGCATTTCAGTTTGGAGCACCTAGAACATTTTGTAAATGAATCACTTTAACCTGCCGAAATATACAAACACGACTTCATGTTACAAACCAGTGAAAACTGGCGTTGAAAATAATTCGAGACTAAGGGTAATGCGACGAAATTTTCATAAGCGTAATATGTAGACACTGTGATATGAATGACCTGTTAAAGAAAAAGCGCGAAAGCAATAAACAAAGAAAAAGCCAAGTGAAAAACACTTTTGAGTGACACAACCAAATAAAGTCAATTATCTTATAACAAACGAAACACAGTATTTGACGACATGTTCTGCTATAAACTAAACGTTAAAACAATACACAGGACTGCCAACAACCAATGATTGGTGTTCATATGCCAAAAATGTTCGAGTATTTAAGAGAAGATGTTTTTTCAATTTTTCAATAAGCATTGGGGTCGTCACCATAATGTATTCACTGGGGCTGCTCCTTTTAATTACCTTGACTGTAGTTCAGGTAAAATTTAGATTTTAAGCTTTACCCTCAGTTTCCTCCAGGATTTCATAGAAGTTATTCTTTAACATTAAAGTGACAAAATTATAAGTACACTTATGCTATTACTTGTCAATCTTTCAGCCGGCTCCACTGCCTGGTTTTTTCGGTGATTACGGTAATGGTTTTTGGGATTACATACTTCCAAGTTTTTCGACACTGAATACACCGAAACTGCCACGCGCGCATGGACCACCTAACTGTATTTGCCCGGGGGGGTACCGAAACAGCTTATTTCCACATGGATATTTCTTCCGATACAAGCGTGGCATAAATTCCACTAGAATAAAGCGAAATGTCGCATGCGGGTTAATATACCTCTCAAACTTTGAGTTATTTCAGGGAATGCTTGTAGACTTAACTAATTTTTTACATCAATAACCTCAAACTTTTAGATGCTGTTCGCAACCAGCCTGTGGTTGTTGTTGCTCACAACCCGTTTGCATCCAGTCACAGCCAGCCTGCTGTTGCAGCCAACCTGTATGTTCTGCACCAGTTCCAGCGCCAAGTCCTTGCTGCTGCTGTTCGCAACCGGGTTGTTCATACGGAGCACCCACAACATCTTGCTGCAAAATTCAACCACCGCCGACATGCTACACGGTGCAGCCACCACCACAGTGTATGCTCTTACAACCACCACCAATACCAGTGATGATACAACCACCACCAGTGACATGCAAGGTTCAGTCAGCACCAATGTGCCTGCAAGTACAATCTCAACCATTATGCTGCTGCAGCCAACCACAGCAACCATCATGTAATTGTTGCCAGCAGTCGTGCTGTGCATGTCAACCATCTTGTTGTGGAAAACGAAAACGACGATCCCTCGATATGCTTCGACATAAAGTAATGGAAAAAAATGCAGCCAGCACAAGGTAACTAAAACAATAAGCTTTTTTATTTTCTAATTATCTTAAGTAATTATCATTTCTTTTCCATTCTCCACTTTTTTTTCTTAAACAAAGTTTTACAAGGATTACTTAAACAGGCACTTTTTAAGAGAGCGCTGTGTGTAAAAGAAATACAGAAAAATTGAAAAAATTCCAAATCTCAAACTGCCTAATGAAATTTGTATAAAATCTATAGTTCCTACATTTGCTGTTGCATGGGTTTAGAATTATCACTACGTGAGATGTCAAACCAGGAACAACTGAACACTAAGAAAAATCTGCGAGTGTCGGGAAGCAAGGAAATTCTGCCAACTGTACCGCAAGGAAGTTGCTAATTTTTTTTTGGAAAAAATACTGCTGATTTCATTTTTCATAGATGGTTAACAAAAGAAAATGGAAGCTTGTAATTATTTCTCCTTTATTCTTTGTAATATTCTACGACAGTAACTTGTTTTTTGAATGATTATTTTTCTGCCGTTCAGCGCAAAAAAACTAGGAAATATGTTGTTACTTCATGGATTTAGGTCAAAAAGCAAAAAAACTTCTTGCATCTTTTTGCTTGTTCAGATTCTAAATATTTTTATTCTAGTGTTTTGCTCTTCGTATGTGCTCTTGTGACTGTTGTCAAAGACTGCTCTCGAAATAAAATTGGCAGCTGCAGCTGTCAAAAACAACGACAAATAAAACAATCCAAAGGACCTCTTTCTTTTTGTTTCTTTTCTTTTCCAGTAATGACATGAATAGTACTTAGATACAGTATACTTAACTGGATCTAAGACACTTTACTTTGGACGAATAGCAGGACGCAAAACTTGAAACATTATTGTCTTTGAACATCAGACTCTTTTCTGAGAAGAAGGATCGTAAGTAAATAACTGTTAGGCAGTTTGAGTATTTTTGTTAACTGTGGCAGGTGAAGAAGAAATAGAAGGTGGTTTTTTGGCTTTTTTTGTTCAAGTTGCTAATTGGAAGTAAACTGCTAGATATTTGTAGCGTTTTGATCTGACCAATGCTTGGAAAACCACAAATAACCACAAATAAGAATAACAGTCCTCAAAAGAAAGAGTTTAAAATGGAGGATGAAGCACAGTTGAATTAGTTTAACCCAATACATATGTATCACAACTATAAAACATTCCAAGCCATCATCTGCTTATAAAAATAAAAATAGGTATGTCAACGTTATTTTCTGCAGTATAACAGAACAACAAAAGAGAAGAATTGATCTGATAAAGATAAATAATGTCTCCTATTTCGCCATTTATTTGCTTAGCTATAAATTAGTCTTAATTAGACTTCTTGTACATCAGTTGAATTCCTAGTTTTCTTATTCCCAATTTCTAGTTAACATTTTGCATATTCCATAACGGTAACAGTGCAAAACTTCCCGATGTAATGCATTTGCTTTTTCTAAGTGACAGCAAAGACGATTAGAAGTTATTTTGTTTGAAATATAAATGATCAATTTTCTTGACACAAAAATATTCATGATTGTAAAAAATTGACACCATGATAGTACTAACAGCAGTCATCACCACTAAGTACACAGTCTTCACAAAAAACGAAAAAAAACTTTCCGTATTAGGCAAAACGACAAATTTTTGATGAAGAGGAGAGGTTAGTGTCAGTACAATCAAAGTAACTAACAATCTACGGAAAATTCCTTAGCACAAAATTTTCATTCAAGTCGACTCGTAAACCTTAGGTGATATTTTTTCAGGAAATGGTGACTTTCTCAGGGTAAGAAAAACTGAAGATTAATTACTTGTTCCTCTCGGAAAAATGTTCCTAGTTAACGTGCAAAATTTGTTCAATGTATTTTTCCTGAAAACTGCCATTTAAAAGTGTTCTTTGAAGAGCGTTCAATTTGCGCTTTAAAAGACAACTTGTTGGATTCTGTAAACGAATATAACAACTTAAAAACTGAAAAAAGATATATTTTTGAGCTTATTTACCAACAAATTTCTCAGACGATACTGTTGTTTAATCCAAGTTTTCAAAGTGGTAACAGAAAAATCAAGAAAGCTAAATATTTTGTTACATTACCATGCTGCTATAGGATATTAATTCAAAAACTAACGATTTTTTGCATTCAAGGTACTAATTCAGTGATTATTCAGTTACTCTGCGAAAAATTTGCTCAGAAAAACTTGTGTGATAAAAATAAAATATAATTAGCCAACTGTGGAGAGGAACATTTACTTTTTTCCTTTCCAATTTTATTCTGGTTGTTAAAAAACAAGTTATCCAACAGCGGTAATTGCTAATATTTTTCAGACACTTCAAAAGATATAGTTTTCTAATAAGATCTTTCAATGAGTAGATTGCTGTCTTTGTATACATTAGAAATTATTAAAAGCCGTAAAGTACAAACAATAACGAGTTAAATCGGTTTTTAAAATTCAGAATAACCTGCTCTGACATATTCGGTGACCTGAATCCACTGACTTTTCTGTATATAAGACAAGACTAGTTCATTAAAACCCTATCATATGGGTATCATGAATCGCCTGATAGTTATATTGGCGATCATATTTTGTGTCGCCCACAAAGTGCAGGTATTAATAAATTTTGTAACCCATAATCAGAATTATTTTTGTAGTTATTACAGAACCATTTTATTTTATTTTTTTTTTCATAAACTGTATTTATTTCATGGGTAAATTATTTGCATAGGCTACCCCTCTGTCTGTAAGTCGTGATGCAAAAAAAACAAACTTAACGTCGTCCGAAGAACTGTGGGGAATCGGTGCTGAGGAAGATCTAGATAACTCGACTGCATTGGTTGCCCTAAGCTCAACGAACGTCTACTTAGGGAGACAAACTAGCGTGTTAGCCAATGAAACATACAGAAATCGAGTAAAGAAAAGCGGTTGCGGGTGTGGTTGCTGTTGCTGTCCGTGCTGTTGTTGCTGCTGTAAGCCGTGCTGCTGTTGTTGTAGACCATGTTGCTGCTGTTGTTGCAGACCGTGCTGTTGCTGTTGTAAACCATGCTGTTGCTGCCCATGTTGCTGCTGTGGTGGCGGCAGAAGGAAAAGAGGTTTTGATTCCTCACGCTACGAAACATATGAAAACAGAACTTTGAGTGAAAGAAGCGTCTTAATTCCAGAGTAGGTCCTATGAAACTGTTTATAACGCCAAACACTACTTTTTTGAAACGGAACTTTGTTTATATTCGACATATGACAGCTTAAAATGCTGGAAAATTACAGGGATTGTCCAGGATGCACTGGTCCTAACTGTGCCGTGTGTAGTGGGAGAGCCGCTTGTGATCCAAGGAAGTGTCCTGTTGGTGTTGCGGCTCAGTGCAATTCGCAACAGTGCGCTACCGTCAATGGCAAGATGCGCCTATTAGGTGGACCTAGAAATCCAATGATACCGAACGTCGGAAATCAATGTGCGAAAGGTGCTTGTCTCAGAAGAGTGATTGGCAATCGCAGTGCCCAGTGTAGTTATACGCCAGAGATGAGCAGAATGTGTCATTCGTGAGAATTTTTGTTGAAGTTTATGTAATTGAGTCGTTGACTCAGTATTCCAGTGCATTCCCGTAATTAATTTATTGTTTTTAAAAATTTATTCTGATGAAAAGTTTAAAAGCAATTTGGGATTTTTAAAAAAGTGGTTTGAGTCAAATGGTGGGATACTCTGCATTTAATAAAAAAAATTGGAATCTTCTGTGTAAAAAAATGTTGGTTTTCCCCGTGCAAAAAAAAAAGTCAAAAAACATTTCTAAGGTTTCTTGCTCTTTTTGTTTTATAAGCATTAAATTTTTGTGAAAGTCAAGCCAAATAGTATTACTCATCAAATCATTGGCTAATCCACGAAATAATTTATTTTCTTCATTAATTATTACTTGAACAGTGTTGTTGTGTAGTGTTTTGTCATAAATTCCTATTGGAAAACATTTTGATGATGCAGTATTTGGAATAATCTATTTGTTCATTATAAAAAGGTCAGTTGATTGGTTTTTGCAGGTCGGACTTCTCTAGAATACTTAAAAAAAAATTTAGGCTTCAAAGTTACACACGCATTTGTGTTCAGTGAACCGAAGTAAAGGAAGAAGCACAAAAAAATTTAACTACAGAAAGCATTCTTTATTTTTTTGTAACTATTATCACTTTTTTAAAAAAACTGTTATGGGCTTGATGTTTATGCAGTGAGTTTCCAAAAAAAATTTCTAAATTGCAGAAGGTAAATCTTATTAATAAATTGATGAAAATCTCAAAAGCCTTATTGGTCTGTTGCATTCCAACACATTCTCCTTTCTGAATTCTGACTTACCTCACCTATCTATCGTACGTTACATAATGCGGTCGACTTGAGACTCTCATTACCAAATTTGTTTTCTGCTTCTACGGTGTCAGCGCCAACAAATCAAATTCACATTTGGCTACTTTTTGAAAGGCAGACATTCATTTTTTTTTTCTTGAAATGATAATTTATTCGATTTTTTTTCCGACATTAGAGTTACATTTATTCAAATACAAGTTTTCCTGCAAAAAATCCCAATTTACTTCGATGCTATTGTGCTTCATCAGTTTTTTTTACGCAAGGTTGGTCAGTCTTCTTGGTACTTCAAAAATAAAAAAAAAAACAAAAAAAAACCAATTCAAAATAATTTATTTAGTCATAAAAAAGTCTGAATCTTTTACAACTTCCCAACCCAAGTTTGTACTACTAGAAAAGTTGAATTAAATCAAGGTTCACCCAGAATGGTTATTGAAATAAGGCTTTTTATGAGCATTTTTAACCGAAAATTCGCCAAGAGTTTCCTTATTTTTAGTAATCCGCATAACAATTAATCGAAAAGTACTAAAATGAACCACAAATTTTTATTCATCTTTATTTAAAAATACAAAAGCAAAAAGAATCAATTTTTTCCACGAAACAACAGTTGCCTACAACGATACCAAAATGTAACTTTAAATGCCAGCATCTTTTTTGCTAAAGCCTTTCCTTGCATTTAGCCTGAGCTAGACAGTCCTTTTAAAGCAACTTTTGGAGAAGTTCCCTATAATAAGTAGTTTTTCTTTCACTCAGCAAGTACAGCTCAGTAGCTGAGGTTTTTGTTTTTCTGCTTAAATATCAGATCTATTAGGACGCATTTATGCTCACTTGTCTAATGGTTGAATTTTGTTCTCTGTGTTCAAGTCGCTTTGTATTCTCCTGCGTAGCAAAAGCATGTAATGCTGAGATTTTCAGGTTCTAAAAAGCCATTTCTACCGACAAGTTCTATGTTTCAACGTCTTCCCTAATAGCACATCATTATTTTTTTCTGTAGGTAGTATTTCACGAAAACCTTGATGAAAGTGATTCTAACAGTCTAAAATAATCTGCCTAACCACCGGCGAGAAATTAGTTAGGGTTCAATCACAAAGAACAGGATTAAGCAGCCAAACGGAATGAACGATTTCGCAAAATCACAAACTAAAAAGTAAATCTCAGAACGAGGTTATTGCAAAAGACTTCCAAATCAGGATTTGTACGCCAGTCGCTAGATGTAAAAGCTATTCACAAGGAACAACAATGCGGCTACTCTTTGAAACAAGTGAAGAATAATTTTGAGCTAATTGTCTTCTCTTAAACTAACACTGACCATCAGGTTTTCTGCAATTAAAAAAACTTGAACATAGACCTTTCGTTTCGCAAGAAATTATGATGCAGACAGATCAACATTAACAAACTTTACAACGAAGTTTTAATGTGCAAATGAGCACAAAGATTTACATAAAATTTTATTCCATATAGAAGTCATCATAATTCCGTTCCTACAGCGTTTCAGTTGAGCGTTTATTTTCAAACTACTGATCCTCCACTCAACATTCCCGCTATCTGTAAGTGCCAAAAGTCAGTCTTCTTTTCCTTTCTTTAAGCGGTGAACAAAGCTTAGGAGTAAAGTTCAGACATCAGGCGGAAATTATACCTGCGACACATACTTTTCCTAAGTTCTGTTGTTTCATTACATTAATAAGAGATTCTCCTCAGCAAACTGAGGCTTTTTTCCCAGATTACTCGGCTTCCCCATGTCCTCAGCTAAAGTAAGTACACCAGCGTTACGTTTGGCAAGAACAAGAACCTGTCAATTCTGATACGACTTGTACTTCTCCTTATAGATGATACTAGATACAACAGTGTCAATTTAATTTATTTATTAATACCATAAATTATATAAATATTTGGAACATTGATATAAAATCAATCAGAATAGGTGTTGTTATTACATATATATATATATATATATATATATATATATA